CGTTGTTCTCACGAGTTCGTCGCTTCAATGGACAGCTTAATTTAATTTAAACCTAACAGTGTCCAGAAAAAAATCGATTACGAGATAGAAAGAAAAATTGTATAGATCGTTTTCAGAATTATTATCATTCACGCTACTTTATTATTTTTCTAAATTTCATATTTATTGCAGATTTGCACTATCGTTTCGACAATCTCAATAGTTGGTCGAAACAAACCGAAAGCATCGATTAAGAGTAAAAGCAAGGGCTGCTAGCAAGACACTGATAAATGTTTACGTGCGCCGATAGAAAAAGGAGCCAAGGCTTAATTCAATTGCAGGCCGCCGTTCCGCAAACACTCATGATAATTCAATCAAGCTCACCCCATCGAGTTATACCGATTCCACCCTCGGAACTGGCCCCATTCGGCCAAGAACCCCGTAGGAGCACTGCGGAGGGTGGAAACGGCTCATAATCTCCGTATGAGAACATCTGCACTCTAATCGGCTGATGATTTCCACCTAAACCTACGTCCTCGGTGTCCCTTCGACCCACACACCCCTTCGTTTGTAAATCATCGGCTTGTCTATGAAAATTATCATCCAACATTTCTCATTCCTATGCACTTTTTATATTTTTATTATTCCATTTATAATAAGTGTGATAAAATATTCTAATTGATGTGGGGATAGATTTAACCTAAGAGTTAAAAGGGTTAATGACAGTCAAGTGCCAAACAGAAGATTTTTTGAAAAATTTCGCCATCAAATTAATCAGTGTTAATTTCAATATTTGTGCAAGTGTTGGGAAATATTTATCAGAAAGTATATGTTATCTTGTAAATCATCGGTGATACGGAAATGGAAAGACGGAAATTGTCAAAGTTTATAAATATAAAAAATTTAAGAATTGATTTTCAAATTTAAAGTATGGAAATTCTCTTCTGCATCTACGAATCTAAAATCAATATCGCTTTTACGAATTCAACGTCATAACAATTATCTCTCACTGTTGTAAAAATAATACTGCCTTTAAAAGTAGCCTTGTACAATTATACCTTGAATATATTATATATGTATCTTCATTATAAAATCACATTAATAAGTTTGATTTCAAAGTAACGATGAACACCCTTAATAGCAATACAAAGTTTTCATCTGCATCCAATACTAATATCTTTATTTATTAAAACCTTTCTACAAAAGAATTGGAAGTCAAAAGTGACGTGAAGAAAATAATCATCTGATTCGTAATTTATTTTTACAACAGTAACTATATTAAATACTATTGCATTGTACGTTAGAACCACGTGGTTCTATTTTAATTTTATATCACAACAGCATTGTGCACTCGAACCTGCTGCAAGAATAAGTTCATCATAATAAATTTATCTCGAACGAAATTCTAATAAGTTTATTTAAGTTTTGCTCGTTTATAAAGCTGTATTACCTTTTCAAAGGCTAATTTCTGTTTTCTACATTTTTGCTGCACATATTACATGCAAATATGCGGTCGATAGGAAATTACTTTAATTATAGTGATTACGCAAAGCAACATACCCGAATAAGTATTTTCTTTTTTCTTTTAGTATATTTTTCTGATTAGATAGACGGAAAACGTATGTGGATATGTGGATATTTCCAGGAAAATAGAACGATTTACCAAGCAATATTCCTACGTTTAAAATTATTAATTATAACAAATGAAATTCATCAAACATTCATTCATACTAGATTTTTAAACAAAATAACGTAATTGTGCTTTAAAAATGAAATAATAAAATTATTTAAAATAATATTTCAAATGGCATTATTTTAAAAGTGCCCAGGTGTCCTTAAGACACCGAGGTTCTCCAACAAATGCAACTCTTTCTTTTTTTTTTTTTTCTTTCAATGATGTTAATTTTTCTTTTTTTACGTGTCAGAGGAAAGGGCGAAGGCAGATATTTAAATATTTTAAAGGCAACGTCAAGCGAAGTTATACGCGTCGGTGAACGGTGGAGCGAGAGGAATCCCCACCATTAATGTCGCAGTCGCTTTCGATGCACGGAATGCTGATATCGCATAACTTTTAGCGTCTAATCATGCAAATGTATGAGCCGTTAATTAAAACCGACGCAAGTTGCATTTTACTCGGTGGCAGCCGGGAAAAAAAAAACTTTCTTTCCTCAGCTACCGGAGGGAATTTGTGAAATCTTGTAAATTTTCTGACATTTTTCTCCCGATTTCGTTCAGCAACCGAGTAAAATGTATGGCATGAGAAAGATAAGGGAGCAACGTTAATTGAACGGTGTACAATTTATATTTCGACGGTTAAATTATTCCTTCACCCACGTAATTCAATCTTATTTATATTCTTCAACATTGTTTCGAAACTTATCTTACGGTTTACTTTGGGGAGAAAATATTATCGCTGTACTTTTTCGATTAAAATTCAAGCAACGAATTATGCGATCGTGATTGTGAGCATAAATTTTGGTAGAAATAACTGTGCACAGCTTTCCAGCGTTTCGAAAATCGTCGCTATTAGAAACGGTCGTACTGACAGACAGAATTCGCTTGAGTTTATTTCTGATTGCACCCGTGGACCGATTCGGCGGTCGGCTATTCGGCAGTTAAGTAGAAACAAATGAAGTGAATTCGAGGAATTCGAACTAAGACTGTGGTCTTCGGGACCGCTCTAAATAGTTTTTCGAAATCAAACGATCTGCTCAAATCTCCTTTTCTTCTTCTTCGTCTCGCTTGATTTTAAGTTCACCGATTAAAATAATTCATTGTGTATTGTTCAATAAATTTTTATCTCTTTTTGTTTACAGAATAAAGAGCTGCATTTGTCAACATTCTGAATAATAAACAAAGAAACTGAACATGTTCTGTTTAAAATGAAACTTTCTATGGGGTTGAAAGTGTAAATGGGAGAGATAAATTGCATATGGATTCTCATCGGTACCATGATCATAATTAGACGAGATAAATGGCTAGATGGTAGTGTTTCGTTGGAGTAATTACGATCGACGTATAGAATTCATAATCGTCTACAAAACGCGGGAAATACGTGTTAAACGAGTTGCCTTAACAGCATGTAACGTTGAACGATTGAAAGTTATCGTTGAATCGCCACACGCTACTGAATATTCTATGGTTACAACAGATTTATCTGATTGCGAGGATGCACGGTACATGCCGACGCTTTAATCACTTTTATTCGTCCGAAGAAATCGTTTCGAACAAATGAAAATAAATCATTTTTCTGAGAGAGTCCTGGCTTTTCTGCTAGCAAAATAAACGAAGAACCTTATTCAAAACTAACAAAATTTTCCAGTCGAGACTAGTAGAATCTTCAGATAGTAGAATGCCCGAATAGTGGTGCATTCAGACAATAGAACGCCTATTGTAATCAAAATTAGCGGTTGTTGCGCGCGGCGAAAATACGTCCGAATTGCGAATCAACCTCTATCTACTACGTTTTATCTACTATGTTTTAAATAAAATTGTTCAATGAATTTTGATAATTATGGACTGCATAGTTACTACTTGTAGTTCCTGCAGTGAAGCCTTATGACAACTGTTATCAGCCTCATTAGTTTCTATCAGTACAACTTTTACTTTTTCTTCACATACGAATTAATAGCGAAATCCTATAAGCATGACATAAATTATGGGATCTTGTCTCTTCGGCTTATTTATGTAACGAAATACTGTATTTTAGCACGCGATTTTGATAAGGGCTTGGGGGTACAGTTTGTTGACTCCAGGTGATTCTTGAAAATGTACCATAAAACAGTTTTTTCAAATGCACTATCATTATTTTTTTAGTAGTCCACGTATTTCTCGATTGAGCTAAGGAATGATGTCGAACTTGTGGCTTTCACGACGACCACTGACGTTGCTATTTAAAGTCCAACCACTGACAGGTCAAATTTCTGTGGCTTTTTTGGAAGCATTCTTTGCTCCAATCCTTTACGAACGTGAAAGTAAAAAAAAATGTCACTGAATTTGACTATCTTGCTAGATGTCTTTGTTATAATATAAAAATATCAAAGGGGTGAAATTATGAGCAGGAAGCATTAACCCTTTCCTCTAATATAGTAATGTTCTACAATAGTATGGTTCTTTGGTTCTATTATTTGAAGAAAATTGCATCCCAATTGCTTTGTTTCATTGAAATACAGAAACTGAATCTTTGATATTTTTATTAAAATCTTCGGTACTTGAGGGATAAAAAGGACCAGCTGATGTACAGTCATTAAAAATTGATAAATGATGAATGAAAATGCCATGAGATATTGAAATATCATTAGGAACAACAAAGAAATAAAAATAATTGGTAGAATATTGATAGGTGGTGCAATGCAATTGGCAAAAATTCCCGTCGGCCGCGAATTTCAGCGAATCGACCAACACTTTTGTGTTGGCGATGAAACGAATAGCTTTGATCTGTGTAATAAAAATTAATAGCAACATTATTGACAATAAAAAATTAGAGATCCTTGAAACTATCGATGCATATGTTCCTACCACTTTTTTCTGTTCAAACCAAGGTTAATTCCTCCTAAATTCGAGCATGATCTCATTGCTGGAATATGTAGTTTAGCTAGATTTATAATATAATTTCAATCGAACCTGATAAAGCTTACTTTTTAGAGAAGAATAAAAATCGGAGTCCATCGACAACATATTATAAACGATATATAGATACTATAAAATATTCCATCGATATTTCACAATTCAATTCAATTGTTATTATAACTTCTGATTATAAATAAAGTTCTATTTTATCCTGACACAAATGTCATTGCTTCTAAACACGATCAATAAAATATCAATTTTATCTTTTCTTTTTATCGTAAAATTCTTATTATTGCTATAAATTACTGAAAAATTATTTATATTCCATGACACTTTAAAAACCTTTGCAGTCAAAGGTGCAAAATGTCACTTTGATGAAACTATAAAGTGTCACTTTTTGAAATAAGCAAGAAATACCAGACGATAACGATTTAGAAAGTAGGAATACGTACTTTGGGAAGTGAGGTCACCGGGTTCGTCCTGTATGTTAACGGGTGAGATTTTCACTGACCTTGGAGGGCCCTGAAGGCTGAGGGGCCCGGGCCCTCCGGCAGCGGCCATCCTCTGCATCGCTGCACCCCCGATTTCCATCGCTCTTCCAGCCCTGCGCACCTCTTTCGACGACTTTCGAGCAATCTTGAGGCCTTCCTGCCAAGTACGACCTCCGGTCGTACTTACTTATTTTCGACAGAATTTCACGAAAGTGTTTCAACCCCTCACCACTTCCACAGTTACTCTCCCTTCCCGAGGGAATTCAATAGTCGAACCGAGGTAACACTATTAATCTTCACCGATTAATCATCAGAAAATTTCACTTCTTCGACAAAGAATTCACTCGTCCCTTTTCATCGATGAAACACGCGATAGTTCACAATTACCTAATGTCCTTTTCGACGAATCCCTTTAATTTCATCATCAAAACCTTGCACCACTTACAGGATTCTCTGTACTCAGTCCACAAATCTTTTTAATTAGCTAAATGTCACCTTACTCGAAGTTATCCGCGCACTCTGTTCGTCGGAAGAATTCCATCATAGCCATAGTTGTTGCGGAATTACACTCCAGCGACGGATCAGTGAATTTTCGCACACGTTAAACTAATATCTGGATCCTTGATCCTTCACAGACCTCGAAAAATCATCGAATCAAGCCGGATAGAGTATCCCCCGGACGACTAACCGATCCTTTCCAAGCGAATTCCCTGAAATCGCCCCTCCTCGATCGAGAATTCGATCGGCCAAGCCCAACGATCCAGCGATCGTCTCGATCCTACAGGGATGGTAGGGTTAAAAATTGATTGCTCGCCACGCACCATCCATCAGCATCGGGGAAAAAAGGCTGCTCGCGGGTGTAGGATTATTCCCTTGTCACTCGCGGCGAACGGTTCGTAGCGTTAACGAAAAATCAGGGAGAAAGGGGGGTTGGAAAGGAGGGCTCGGGAGGGAGAGGTTCGTAGGAACAGTGAGAGAGAAAGAGAGAAAGAGAGAAGGAAAGAGAGAAAAAAGAGAGAAAGAGAGAACACGTAACACGACACAACACACCAACGAAACTAACGGCGCGGGGCCCTGGGAGGCACTGACTGCCGGTTTGTCTGCTATAGCACCCAACCTAACCACCCGATGCCCCCACCGCCGAGGTCGACCTCTTCGACCCCACTACCGAGGTCGCTCCTCCACCGAGCAGCTCGAGACCGCGTCCTATCCGCTCGCGAGAATTCGTGCCTCGTTTCCACGCAGACGTCGAACCATTCGTTCTCCCGATGGAGTCGACTCTGTCGCTTCCACGCCTCCTGGGGGCAGCTGTGGGACACTTGGCCGGTTCGAGCCGCCAACAAAATGGCCGACAGACCTAATCGATTCGTATACCTCTACCCTCTCCTCTCTTCTCTTTATCGAGCCTCTTGCCACACTCTCGGTCTCTCTCTATCTTGCACCGATACACCGATCTTGGTCCTCCGGACTCGTGGCTTTCCATACCGGATACTCCATCGAACGACCACCGAAGGACACTAACAGGCTCCCGGACACCGTTCCTTCAATCGCATTCTACCCTGTCCGTCAATCTATCCCTACTCAACGACGACCTGTTGTCGACTCCGCTACTCTTCTTTCCTTCTTCCTTCTCGAATCCACGTATCGTTCGCTTTTGGAGGAGGAGCTCGTAGACGGAGGTGTTCGACGAAGGTTTCCTGCGATTTCCTTTATTTTTGTCGCATGCTTCGGAATATCTCCTTGCCGCTTTATTGATTCGCCGCGTTCCGGGCTGCTTTGAATCCTTTTGTTTCACCATCCGTTCGAACGTTCGAATCCACATTCGCGGGTGTTTCCTTTTCGACTTCGATTTTCTCCATGGCGGTTCTTTGTTTCGGAGGAGGGCTCTTTCAGCTTCTCCTCCTTTCAAAATATTTTCTTAGAACTTTCTGTTGTACCGAGTATTTTTCAATTTTTCTTTTATGTTTTAGCGAATTCTTTTCGTTGGCTGCTTTGTAATATTGGAGATTTACTAAATTAAATTATTTTCCAATTTTCCAATCCTTCTCTGCTATAAAATTTCCATGGTTTTCAAGCGAAAATGCACGAAAAAGTGCAGTAATTTAATTGACAACCTGATATTATTATATCCTTTTTTGTTGTTAATAATACTGCGCAGGCACAAAAATTCAACGACTTCTTTGTATGAAATTTTTAGCGTTATACTAATATTCATTTTCCGAATGTTCGAAGTAGATATTCGACGAATCCATTCGTGCGTGAATCGAATTATTAAAGAGGATGGTTCTTTAATGACATTAGTTATTTCATAATCGTGCGAAGTGAAATCTATTTCTTTCATTTTTAAATATCTCGCCATTTTAATAAAATTTTAACTTTCTGAAATATCAACGATAAGCTGTACAGAATTGTTTTCGATTTTCTAAATATATTATTACTAAAATTTTTTAAATATATAAATATTTATAGTATTGTACACAGTTTAAAATCGTTGTCGATAATCGGTTAAATTGATTCTACTCTAATTAATCAATTGATCGGTTCGTTGACACGCTAAAAATAAATGAAACAGCGAACAGAATAATTGAGCTTTTCGCGAAAATAGATGCGATGTTTTCTCATGAATACATTTAAAGTCGAACCAATTGCGACAGAAATAAATCTTGAATTCGAAAATAATCAGGAGATGCACTTTTGTTAATTCCGTATAGACAGCTAGACAACGATTTAGCAATTCCAAAGATAGACACGTACTCATGAAACATAAAGTCTCTTTTGAGAATCCAGGCTATTTAATAATCATACTTATGTGTTGCAAATAGAATAGGTATTTAATTACCTACACGTTTATTTATTGGTATCAAAAATGTAAGTAAATATTTTTGAAGTTAATAAAAATTGAAACGTGCATAACACGTTTCATTTATTTTATAGCAGAAACAAATGGAGCTGCAGTGAAATATTAATTATTCGCAGTTCATTATTTTAATAAGTAATTCAGAAGTTTTTTGATACGTTAATTATAATTTGAATAAAAGTGCATACTTTTATACGGATGTAGTCATTTAAAAGGTATACAAATTTATAAAATAGCTGAGTTTTTTCATTATTATTGTTTAAAATCACACGCGTTTTTTTCACGTACGAAGCAGATAATTTACTCAAAAAGTAATTTTTATAATATAATTAAAATTCACCCTGTTTTAATGTAATATTTAATAGTACGTACATCGGAGTGTATAAATTGCACAGCCATTTCGCCATTTAATTAATTGTTAAAATATTTGCTTCCACAAGTATTTGTAACAGTACGTAATTACAATAAACATGCATAATAAATGGTATATAAATTGGTCTAAAAATATTTGAGTAAGCAATATATTTTGTACTTGTTAATTTGAGAAACAATTTCTCATTGTGAATTTTCTGAAACGATGATAATGAACATAGTTCAATTAGCAATTCTAGGAATGTACGAACCGATAATTATTAGTGCAATTGATAGCTATTGGTTTTAACTCGACATAGATGAGCAATTTGCATAATTTCACTTATCTTCGATTGCCAACTTTAATATTTAACATCACCCTGAAATTTGCTTCTTAAATGAATTTCCCAGAATTAATACTAAATTTTCTTCTACTGTTTGAATTTTACATATCTGACATAGCTGATTTATTTACGTAACTAGGTAAAAACTGGAGTGGGTCAGGCCCTCCCAAAAATACGAATTGACCACCTCACTACCTTAAAGTTTCGCAGTTCCAAAACTCCCAAATTTTCCTACCCTATTTTCCAACTGCTGATTCGAGGAGCCTCTTACCTCCTAGTCTTCCTAATCTCTTTAGAGTTAATTGTAACGCAAGACCGCATTTACACCATCGAAGCGGAAATTCCTTTCATGAATGCGGCTCGAAAGAAAGTGGCGCAAAAAGAGCAACCTCCGATTTGCCTTCCAAAAAAGGACAATCTTTTGCGGTTCACCGACCACATGCATTGCCTAATCCACATTGCACCAACACATTCAACCGTGAATAAATCTCAGAGCGTTTGGTTCATTGTTGAGAACCTCTCTTTTCCCTTTTGTCATTTATATTTTCTTTTTGCTCTTGAACGAGCTTTTCAGCTCAAACATTTTTCTATTATTAATAAAATGAAATTGCAAATCAATTCTCGAGAAATTTTTACACAAATGATTTGGTTACTTGGAAAATATTCAAACGATCAGCTGGTATAAAAAAAGAATAGAAGAAGGGAGGTAGTATCAGGAGTGACAAACATTAAGAAAACACGCACCCACAGATTAACTGGGAGCACAAAACAGGATCCAACCGCGTGCAAAATGCTAATCCTAGCCGATGTCACGCTGTACACCTGAGAAACGTCACGCTTCTCCCGCGAAATTTCCTTTGAAAAGAAGTCTGACGACATGTCGCTGCCTACAAGGGTGGATCTAGATTTATACGTATATGTTCAAGGATTCGATGGATCTGACGTAAATACGAGAATGATAAAATCAAGGATGGAATCGAAGTTGAATTGGATTTGAAAAGTAACGCCTCTGCTACTGTAAATCCCTTTCTCATTTTTAATTAAAATCTAGGAAACTCAAAATGAAAATTAAACACTGAGAAATTTAGAATTTTTCATTAAAATATACGATTAATATTTTTTGAGAACTTAACTGCAATTTGAAACGAAAGAACTGAAATCGATGTTCAATAAATTATCCTTTTCGTGAAGTGTAAAATAAAATCTATTAGACACTTGTCGACTCATCCGACATTCCTCTGTTACATCAAATTAGAATATTTCAAACATAATTTGAGATGTATACATTGATAAAAGTCCAAGAGGTTACTTGATGCGATGCATTTTACATGCAAAATGATTTGTAACTGCACGTCAATATGGTAGATATGAATCGAAGAAAACAAGTAAAAAAATGTGAATGTAGGTTGTTGGTACTTTATTTTTCAGCTTGTAACAAGATAAAGTGAAGTCTGCGTTACGCCATTATCTTAATCTCGGATACATCAGCGCAGCTACTTTCCTCGCGCTAACAGCGGAACAAATTGCTGGCCGTTCTCCAATCAATTA